GGGCCGGGCCGGGCCGGGCCCCCTCCCCGCGCTGAGTGTCTGCCCGTGCGGTGCCAGGGCGGCGGCGGCGCAGCACTGCATGAACGAGGCGGAGCTGGTGGACGTGGCCCTGGCAGTCCTGGCCGAGGTGAGCCCGGACCCCCGGGGATGGGGACGCGGCCCCGGCTGTGCCCGAGTACGGCCGGGTGGGCAGGAGCTCCCTGGGGGTGTCTCTCCGAGCAGCGGGCCGCCACCTGGGTGTTCTGGTCCCCTCCTCCCCTTCCCGGAGGCTGTCGCGGCCGGCCGCCCCGCCTGCCGCGGCGGAATTAAAGCGGCTTCCACCGCGGACCTGGGGATTGGCGAGGGATGTCCCGCGGGGCTGGTGGGCTGCCCCCCACCCCCCCCTCTTGAGGTGCTGCCGGGGTGAAGTCGCGCACAGCCGGGTGTGGTTGTTTTCTTTTTGGTCAGAATCTACGGTGCAAGAAAGGCGAGGAGAAGGCCCGGTCCGGGAGCAAAGAGGAGCAGAAGCTCCAGCCAAGGCCAAAGGAGGCTCCTGGAAACACAGGCAACGTGGGAGGAGGCAGCGACTGCAGTCCGGCTCTCCCATTGGGTCCTGACGCGGGTGCAGGTGCCGATGCAGAGAGAAGAAGGTGGGAGGACTCTGAGGACGATGCTCTGAAATACGTCAGGGAGATCTTTTTCAGCTAACGTTGCTTCCTCTGCGGTTCCCCAGGAGCAAAGGGGACGGTGAGGAGGGTGGCCCCTCCCACAGCACTCAGGATGGTGGGAATTGGTCCTGAAGTGGGCTGTGTATCTGCCGTGTTGGTGGACTGTGGAGCTGGCAGGAGGCCCATGAAGGCCATGGGGAAAAAGGAAGGGGGCACTCACTTCCCGTGGTGTGTTCAGTGAGATTTGGCTCCAGATTAGGTTATGTTCATTTCTGTTTGGCATCTCAGAACGTGGACAGATTAAAGAGGACATTTGGGTTCCTGTGAGTGTCCTACTGATGGGTCGGTGTTGGGACTGGAGGGGAGCTGGGAGTTGCTGGCCCTGAAAGGCCTTTGCTGTCTCTGCAGAGCCAGATAGTCATGGTTCAGCCTTGGGGCTCCCTTGTCCTTGCTGTCTCTCTGTGCCAGCTGCAGTGGGGCCTGACGGGCTGTCCCCATTAGACCTGATGCTGAATTTGCCTCCAGGCTCGGGCAGGCCTCCCATAGAAGAGGAAGACATGGGTGGGAGCAGACTGGCAAGGAGCAGGGACCATCCTGAGGGGGCTGACCCTGTGGCAGTGTGCATGGGGGTCTGGGACAGGATGAGGATGTGTCCTCTTCCCGATCCAAAGGAGGGGATGAACAAACCATGTGAGACAGGAGCAGGTTCAAAAGCTTTTACTGAAATAAAGAACTGGTCAAATGAGCGTCCACAGCCACATCCACAACAAGACTACAGCAGGAGAGTAAACAGACCCTCATGTCCTCAAAGGGGATGGAGAGGAAAGGAAGTGCTTCTTTGTGTGAGGTTACAGACATGCCATGGAGCGGTGCTATGTGCTGCTACAGCAGAGAAACTCCCTCCAGTGCTCTGGCTGCGATGCCCAGCTGGGGCACTGCACCCTGGCCTTTGGCAGCCCTGGCCCATCTCCCCAAGTGCACCCTTGTGTGGGGTATGTGTTGGTCTGAGTTGGGTTTGCGGTGAGCTGCCCTTGCACAGAACCAGTTCTGGAGTCTCAAAGGCTTCTGCAGTGCTGGGCTTAGCTCCATAATATCAGTGGGGACAAACCTCGGGCTCTGCACCAAAATCCTCTGCTTCCTCGTGGAAACTCCTCATTAGGGCTGTGTTCAGCAAGTTGTTAGGCTGCCCCTCCAGGTGCTCTGTTGCTGCTGGCGTTGGATGTGGGCCACTTCACCCCAATGAACTAAAGCAGAGTCACTCCAGATGCCATTCCAGCAGGTGAAGTACAGGGGCTCCTGCTGAAGAGAGTATTTCCACTTCCAGGGCCACCACTGTAGTGATCATCACTATAGTGATGGCAGTGTGAAGCCACAGCTCCTCAAGTCACAATTGCCTCAAAGGCATCCCTGCTTAGTCCAGCAGATGAAGCAGAGTCTCTGGGCAACTCCAAAAAAGGAAGCCTGTTAGCATCTCTGCCTGCCTATACTTAGGTTAGATCTGGACAGAGGGCTGTGTCCACTGTGTGCTAGTTCTGATCTGTCCCCTTCACTGTCCTCTGGGTCAAGACCAGAAATATTGTTGCTTTGCTGCTCTGCCCCAGGCTGAGGGGTGCGTTACATGCTGGTGTTGCCAGAAAGCTTCCGTGCTGTGGGTGTTGGTGTCTGCTGCCTGCTCGCTGCAGGAGTGCTGCACACAGTGCCATAGCATGGCTGGATGAGGGCCTTTGGACTAAGGATCAGACTTGTGCCAGTGACTAAAGCTGTAGCGGGATTACTGGTTTAGATCGGGTTATCAATTAGCACTTGCATCTTGCATCTTCTTCACTGCCAAACTCAATGGGCAGGGCCTTTTCAGTAAAAGGGGTTTGACACGAGGTGTGTGCTTGGCCCAGCTGAGGTACATTGTGGCAGTGATAATCTGGAGCAGTAGTAGAGCCTGAGACCCAAGCAGTGCCAGGAAGCCCCCAGTGAAGTCAGAGGGCTGAATCCACTGTGAGGTTTGGAAAAGAAATATAACCAGGCCTCCAGACAGGATTATCATCTTGATGATGAGTATGATGATGGTCACCTTCCAGCCCTCTGTCTCCTCTGTGCATTTCACGTGGGCAACAAAAATGGGGTAGAAGATGCTGAAGACCAGGCAGGCATACACACAAACCCTGGCTATCACTATTCCTGGTAGGCTGATGCCCATCATCTGCAGGTGCTTGTACTCCAGGCATTGTAGCTGCCTAGCTGTCTCATTCCACAGGCAGAAGTTGTAAAAGCCAATGCGTTTGCCAGGGAGGTCGACCAGGTTCCCAGCTTCCCACAGCAGTGCATAGAGCATCAGGGCCAAGGTCCCGGCAGACTTGAGTAGGGTCAGCACATAGAGCAGGTGCCCGGTGTACCTCTGTTGCAGCAAACCCATCCTGGTGCCTGCATGCTTTCTTGATACCATGGTAAAGTCTGCTTTGGGGATGCCTGCTGCAAAACATGAAGCAGGGGACCCCTTGTTTGTTGTGTGTTATGGCACCCTTCTCAGGATGTACTTTGAGCCTGTGTCACTGGGGTCTCAGGACTCCCTTTGCAACTAGAGCAGGAGCATCTGAGTCCTGCCTCTGACTGTGCTGCACATGTGTTACTGGGTTGAGAGAGGGTGTGCATTTTTGGTCACAGCAAAAGTGGCTTAATGATGTCCCAAGCATGGACCAGAACTGGGAGGACAGTATGGCTCCCTTAGCCCACTCATGCCCTTTGCACCGTGATCTCATGTTGGGCAAGAGAGACATGTGTCAGCAAACTGCAGTGATGGGAGGGGAGCAAAACACTGCTGTCTGGTAAGGAGGGGGTTAAAAACTGTCTGCTCAGACAAGGACATCCCTTGTGATCTTTGGACTGCAGAGTAAAATGCAGGCATGACAGTGTCTGAAGTGCAAGGCTCCCCCTGCCTCCCTGCGGCCTCCCTCCTCCCCCCGTAGTTCTAGGACACAATATGCCACTAATGACATGTGTTTCCAGCATCCATGTACCCCTGTGGCCCTTGCATGCCCATACATTTCTGGGCACAGCAGGGCTGATCACCTGCAGACATGGTGCTCCTCTGTCCCTGTTTTGTGAGGACCGATGCCCCACGTGGACAGGCAGTTGTCTACCACAGAGAGGCACCCCAGACCCACCTGCAGCCACTTGCCCTCCTTCGGGGCCTGGGGAAATGGGTGCTACAGTGACAGACCTGTGATTACCATCCTCGCTCTTCTCTCAGACTGTCTGGCAAACCCGACTCCCTGCTCCTCTCCCAGAAATGTGGACTATCTTCAGTGCCCTCTTCCAGGCTTCTGCTTCGTGCTGAAAAACAGGGAAGTGGCATCAGGAAGGGGTATCCCTGGCTGCAGAGCCACATGGCATTGCAGCACTAGCAACCCAGATCTGCACAGAGGAACAAACACAGGTCAAGGAGTTCAGAGACCTTGGCTTCAAGCTCAGCCTCCAGCTTGAGGCTGTGCAAATAACCCCTTTCCTGCCTTTGTCAAGCATTCTCTCCTGTGAGTCATTTACCACCTTTCCCCAAGAATTTCATGATGTTGGTCCTGCTGTCTCCCCTCCACTGCCCATTGCCTTGTGATGTATCATCCTGATGTCCTGGGCGTCGTAGGCCATCAGCCCACAGCCACTTGTGGATTTGGTACAGCATCTGCGTTTTTAGAGTGCCAGAAGAGACCCCACTCAATCTCTGCCTGGCCACAGTGCCTTCAGCATTACCCTCCCTCTCCCTGGATACTTGGGAGTGGGTCACTTATGGTTAATTTGCGCAAGGATAAAGTTTCTCTGTCCCAAACTTCTCCTCCACATGGTCATAGCCAGAAGGAAGGAGCACACACCAGCATGGAAGGGCATCACAGCATCCAGACACTGACCTGTCTCCTTCCCTTGGTCAATAACCTCACTTCTTCTTGTAGCTTCCCTTGGAGGTCTTCACAACAGGCTTCTGGAAAGACTGGAAGGTCACGTGGAAAATGCCCATTGTTCTGAATCTACAGTGAAGAACAAATGACCAGGAAAATATCTGTGCTCAGGCCCAGAACATGCTGCAGAATGAGAACTTGTGCACATGCAATTTCTCTAGTGTTTGTCTTGACCCTGGTATTGCCTCTTGTTTTGTCTGTACACATGCCCTTCTGCAGCCAGGCATTGCTGCTTTTCCTCTCCCTGTCCTGCAAGGGCTCACACCTGCCCACTGTTCTCCCTGCCATCCTGCCTCACAGCCCTCAGAGGGAGAACAAACTGTGCTTGGTTAGCTGACCACCTCCCCCAGGATTTCTGTCAGAACTCAAGAGTTGGGACTGGTACAGCTCAGCCAGCTCCTGGTTCTGCCCACCCACCAGCCCTTGCTGTGGAATTTCTGTAGACTGGTTTCCTAGAGAAGGCAGGCTTGTAGAAACCGGCTTTTGTTTAATCATCTCACGTTACCTTTTATTTACCCCCACCTCCATAAAATATAAAAGCAATTAAAAATTGTCCTAGTTACATATGTTTACCAGAGAGGGGATAGAGAATTAAATTCCTAGGAAGGATCATGGAAATACATAGCAGAGGCGGAGTAGAGCCACCTCAGCAACACTGTGCTATGTGATCTCTGCGTGTGCGAGAGCTCAGGAAAATCTCATGGTATCTCTGCCCTCTCCTCTGTTTTGAGGCTCATATCTGTAAAAACCTAGTTTCTCTTCCCAGTGATCCTTCTCTGTTCACTCTGCTAAATTGCAAGCAACTTTGCCCCTCAGCTTCCTGCTGCCTCCCCAGCTCAGCCCACCAGGTAAATCCCTGTCCCCAGGTGTAACTATGACAGGGACAGAAACACACCTGAAGTGGGTGCCCTGTGCCAACTGGGGCAGAGACCGTGTGGCAGGAGGTGACATACACTTTGGCAATGAAAGCTGAGACCTGGTACCCTGCCATCAGCACAACTGCAGACACAGCTTTTGTGAGCTCAGCAGCTTGGTTCTGGGGGTGTTTTGGAGGCAGCCTGGCTGAGAAGAAGGAGATAAACAGGAAACAGCTGTCACTCAGTGTCCAGCTGGGGCTTTTCCCAGACATCTGCAGCCCCTCGGCCTCTAAGGAGGTGCCTGTGCCTTTGGATGGGAGAGTCTGCAGCTCTGTCTCAAAGGTGCAAGAGGAACCCAAGCATGGCTTCAGCCCCCTTGTTTCTGAGCAGGCATCACTGGAAGCATTGAACTTCACCATGGGAGAGCTCTGTGTCTCAACCTCCCAGCTCCTTGTGCACAGGTCAGGAGGTCTTTGGGGTGTCTGTGTGTGAGATGGGGCTTGCAGGGACTCTCTGTGCTGCTGGGACTGCAGGGCCCTTCCCTCTGCTGGCTTATAAGCAGGTGAGCACCTTCCTAGGCTGAGGCTGTGCCTTCTGATCAGTGAGCTGCTGGATGACTGTCTGGGTACCTCTGTGCAGGGGACAGATCTCTGTGGAGCTGCCAGACCCCACTGCAGTGAACAGGCTGAATGCAAAGGGGTAAGGGAATAGGCATTTTCTCTTGCACTGAAGAGCCCCCAGAAGACTTGGCTTTCCTGCATCCCCTCTCCCCAGCTGCTGAGTAATTCCAGGAAAGAGCAGTGAGAAAGGAAGGCAGCTTTGGAGTTGGAACCTTTCCTTCAAGCTACAACACACACACACACACCCCACCCGGATACCTCTTTACAGAATCATCTAGGTTGGAAAAGACCTTGAAGATCATCCAGTCCAACCATTTACCTATCATTGACAGTTCCTCTTTCCCCCGCTCAGAGAGGATTGGCTGTGGGGAAACCACAGGTTAAGAAAGGCCACTGACAAGAAGGATTGCTGGCAAACAGAAACCAGCCAGTGGCACACAGATCACACTGCAGATGAACCGCCCCAAAAGTGTGCCACAGCTGGGGAAGGACCTGCTTCCTCACAGACATTTGTACCCTGCAGCACCACTTCTTTTCCTGGCAGATCTCCCCGAATGTTAGCGGCATTAAAAAGGTGAGGGACACAGTGGAGGATACTTACGGGTTACCCATCTGGCTGGGTGTAGAGCTGAAACAATGCTGTAAAGTGCTGAGGTACTGCCCCAGTGAGCTGAGTTGGTCTGTGGCAGCTGTCTGGTCCCGTGCTGGATGGGTTCTGACACACAGTCCCTGCTGTGTCACCGGCATCTGCTTCTTGCTTTCTGTTTCGGTTCTCAGGGCCATGGGAGCCTCATGTAGTACTCAAATACTGCGTCATCTAAATATGAGTAAAAAAACCAAGCTGAGCCTAGCCACTAGCATTTGAGCCAGGGGAGGCTTTCTTCTCCTGGCTGTGTTAAGTGACATGGTACCTGACCAGGCTAAGCTCGCCCAGGAAAGCTGGACTGCTAGGGTGGCTTGGGTGTCTGTGGGGGCTGAGAAAAGTTTGTTTTGTTTGGACACTTCTGTAGAGGTGACTGACTGTCCCAGTGCCGACCCCCAGTACCGCAGCACTGTCAGAGTTCACTGACCACTTTGACGTCTTGCACTTTGAACACTGCTCCCAGACCCAGTTTTGCCCGAGCTCCCCTTCACCCACAGATGCTGCCTGTGTAGGTGCAGTGCAGAAGTGGCAAGCTGCCTGCTGCAAGAGGAAACATGTGAAACCTCGAGTGATTTGAGGGGCAAAACTCTCCTTCCTTTAGTCCTCCTGGCCAGATCCAGAATCATTTGTCCTGTCCTATAAGCAGCGTTGGTGGTGGGTCAACATGTTAGGTGTGTGTTGGGGGGTGATACACGTGGGACACCTAGCCATGAAGCTGTTCACAGAGTCCCACCTACTAATTCCACATTTAGACATGTCTGGAAATCATCAGGTGGTACATATATTGGTACATATATTGGCACTCAGATCCAAGAGCACAAGAGGCAGGTGAAAGAAAATACAGGAGGAAGCCCTGAGAAGCTCAGTGGATAGAGCCATCAGGCAGGTGGCAGTGGGAAGGAGCCTTACTATCTGGCCTGTGTGCGTGGATTAATTTTAGCATTGAGAAGGACAAGAATCCGGATTGAGGTGATTCAGATCACAGATGGCTTGGGCAGGGGTTATGGTGGGAGAAATCAGGGACTGGGGCAGAAGGCTTGCAGCAAATAAAGCCTAGCACACCATAGCTGCTGAGCTGAATGTGGTGAATGGCAGGGATGTAGAAGGAAGCCTTGGGGCTGAATATAGCCATCTAAAATTGGGGCTGCTGGCTGGAAAATGAGGTATGAGCTGAGAGCACCTGTGTTCCAGTGAGGAAATATGCATTGTCATGAGGCATGTTTGTGCTCTCAAGAGGGGCAGTTATGCAGTTTCACCTCACACCACTCACTCTTTTTGTCATTCAGAATGGAAAAATGTATATGATTTGGATCTGGTGATCAGCCAGCTCCTTAGCTGACCTCAGCACCACAGTGGAGGTTGCCATTTTGCTGCCACATATGGGCAGGAGGCACAAGCAGCTCCTTCACAAACATCCTCACTTTGCATTGGGTCCTGTTTGCTACAGTGGGTCTGCTCCATCATGCCACTGCACTTGTCCCTCAAGCCACTGTCCTCCTAGATAGGTGTTTGATCTCCTACGCTTCAGCTTTCATCAGCGTGACAGGTGGCCACACATCCTGGCTTTAGCCTTTGCACACACCTCCATCTCCCCGGACTTCTCTGCACTGCTCAGAGCAATAAATACAACATTTAGGGTTGTGGCATCTTCCTGGCCAGAACTGGTTGCCTGATTGTGTACCTATGGCAAAAGTCTCCTCAGTGTTTCCTGCAGAGCCTTGTGTCTCCTCCCCTGCAGGGTCTCAGTCTCTGCTGCTTGTAATGCCTCCTGGGATGCAAGGCTTCCAGCAAGGAGAGGTACTGTCAACCTCTGGCTCAAGACTGGCCCTTTGTACCACCAACCTTCTTATTCTGAAGCCCTCCTTCCACATCTTTGGCTGCCTTTCTGCCAGGTAGTTCCCTTACTTTCTCCTTCAAGGCATTTGGGCAGGGAAGGTTGTGCTTGAAGAATGAGCAGGATGCAATATGCCTTGCTGTTCTTCTTCCTAGGGACATTTTACAGGTGTCTTCTGGCTGCCCCTGTTGCTTCAGATGCTTCAAGTCTATCTGATGATGGAGCAGTTGGGGAGGATAGGTGTGATGGGTGTGGGATAAGCAGGGGGATGATCATCAACATGTCTCATGGAGGAAGAACAGGAAGTGAGAGGAGAAAGACAGCAGGGCTTCTACGTGTGTGTGCCTGAAGGTAGAAGAGATGGGATGGAGTGTTTGGGTTGCTGGAGCCTGGTGTCTGTGAGTGGGAAAGCAGAGCACTTCCCATGAGCCAGCTTCCACTAAATTCCTGTGCAATTGTTCCTTCCTGGAATTGTTTCCTGAAATAGAAATGTAATACCTTGTGTAGATTAAGGAGATGTTCACTTGGCTTTCCAATGGAATGAACTACCCTGCAGCTCTTGGTCTCTTGTGGTGCAGTTGAAGCACACACAGCAACACTCAGCAGTCCTAGTAATATTAGCCATCACAAGTAAAGCATGAGATGAGCTGAGACTTTGAAAAGTGTTTTGGTTATTTTAGCCTGCTGTTTTAAAAGCTACTATACTTGCTTCCCAGAAGTTGGTTATGACCCAGTTCCCCATTTCTGAGGGAATATCCACAGCAGAACTCTGTTCCCTCTACGTTACTCAAAAACCCTCCCAGCTGTAGCTAGTTCTGCCCCATTGTACTAGATTTAAGGGATTCCTGTGGGAGTCCTTTGACTGGTAAGAAGAGAGATTGGAGTTCATATTCTACACTGTTTAGAAGTCACTTCTGTTCAGAAGAAATTGTAAAATGATTATTTTTTTTTCTCATCTGTAATCTGCTGACAACAAAATAAATCTCAGTGAAACAGAACCAACTCTATGCTTTTCTTCTTGTAACTGTCAGGAGGAGGTTGCTGGCAACCTAAAAGCCAGAGTCCAACGCAGTGCAAAGCTAAATGGCTTTGTGCTGTCTGCATGTGTGCTTCCATGAGACTGAACCCTAATCCCACAGGTTATCAGATGTAAGGTTCCCAGAACTCATTCCCAGAACTGGTGCCCGGCTGGCTGGAGCCTTTAGTTTGGAAGGTGCCCTTCTTCACCTTACCTGGATGCAGTTTTAGCCCTGTCTCTGGGAGGACTTGTAATGATGACTTGTGCCTATGTGTTTAATTTATTGTCTTTATTATTACATTTGTCTTGCTGTAATACGGTATGATTTTTCCTTGTTTCTTATACAGTGCACAACAGAGGGGCTGTATGGGATATTTCCTCCCAGCTATACATTTTAAGTATTTTAAGTATTTGGCCAATTGTTTCTTCTTGCAGATACAAATAATTTAGGATTTATTTATTATAGGCTATACTAGCTCAGCCCCTCTCAAATGCTTATAACTTAATGGACCTGATTTTGCAGCAATAGGTTCCAGTGTACAGATTAAAATGGAGCGTGCTGTAGAGACATGGTAGAGAAAGGAAGCTCACTGACTTGCTTACTGGGCAATTCCAAGTGCAAGGAAATTTAAAGGAGACAAAACTCAGTACCTGTCTTAAGCAGTCTGGTTTTCATCTCTTCTCCCAAATGTCTGTACAATGCTATACACATTAAGAAAATGCAAACTATGCAAGTATATGACCATAATGAATGAAATATTACCGAGATATGTAGGAACACATGAATGGCAACACTGGTTTAGGCAAAGGGACCATCTGTCACAGCGCCCTGCCTCCAACACGACCATGTGTGGATAGCCAGGGGAGAGCAGGAAGAGGACAAGCATATCCAATAGTTTTCCCAAGCACTATCCTAGATTCTCACTCTTTTCATCTGAGGAGATTTCCATAGCAGTATGTGTCTATTCAAAAACTCCCAGTGGTCTAGCTACAAGGTACATGTTCACCTGAATCCATGTACATGTTTTGCATCCATGACATCCTTTAGCAAGGAGTTCCACAGACTATTTGTGTACAGATTTTATGTCAAATTTTTTTGAGTGTAACATGTATTTTATTTGTTGGGGGGAATGATTATTGTGGCTTATGATTCTCCAGTTTTTCTACTATGATCAAGGAATGGTGGCTTCAGCTGCTTGGTGAATAATTCCTCTTCTTGAGAATCTTAGGGAAACTTCCAAATAGAGTGAAGAAGAAAAAATAAAATCACAATGAAACATCCAAATTTTGTCTTGGCCAGTTCAGACTCAGTAACTGGTTGAGGCTGATACAGTTACTTACTGTTAGAGTAAGTAGAGTTACAGAAAGCAGACATTGCTGGACATCAAGTCATTTACTCAGATGACTAGTTGTTTGGATTGAGACTTTCTTCATATTAAGCAGATTCCAACTCACATGTCCACCTCCCCTTCTTCATATTTCCTAATAAAGGCATAAAGGGATAAAGACACTCTAGGTAGCTCCCACTGAAACTGCTTCACTATGCATAAAACTGTAAATCAGGAAGTGAATGTGCCAAAGTCAACATGATTTTTTTGTTTTGGTAAGCATGCAGCTCAGCTGAAGAACATGTCCTCACTCCTAGAGTTGGCTCCCAGGAAGGCAAGTTTTTGACATTCAAATGACACTGGACTAGAGTCATAACAGACATCTCCAGAGCATGAATACTATGTTGAGCCCTACTGTCAAGCAACATGAGTGGGAGAGGAAGAGAAGAGCTGGTGCCACCCAACTGATCTTGACAGGCGATACGTGTTCTTGAGCTGCTCAGCTGCTAGTGCTCACTGGAGGGTGGCTGGCTGTGTCAGAACAAGGTGCCCTGGGACATGAGCAGCGCTAGCACCCAGGAAAGCTAGAAGTTAAGTAGGTAGTGTGGCAGCCTCCTGAGTGGTGGTGCCACTGCATTCAGGGAGCAGCTGAACAGGGGTCCAGTGCAGGTGAGATGAAAGTACCTGAGTGACAGCAACCTTTGGGCTAGAAATTGTTTCCTCTCAGACACATATCTAGCACCTGCCTTCACTACACACCCTGCTGATAAGACACCTCCCAAAGAGCAGTAGGAGGGAGCAAAAGCTCGTATCAAGTGTTTTACAGGCTGTGAGATAGTACTCCAGTTGGACCTAAAATCCACAGTAACGAAGTATTAAGAGTCAGGTTTTTGTATTTTTGTTTCCCCCTTCCTCTAAGCAATGTCAATTTCAGGAAAGCCTAGAAGAACATGATCTGTTACACTTTTACCCTGGGTACACAATAACTAGGCACAAACAGCTGCAGCTGGGGAAGAAAGCGCTTTAATGTCACCCAAGATCACAAAAGCATTTACAAATGCATTCTTTATTAATCTCATCTTTGGCAGGCAAGCTTTTAGCAGACAAAACACTTAAACGTACTCAACTGTCCTGTTACTTAAATTAAAGTGTATTTAACTGCACTGCCTGTCCCACAGAAGCTAATTACAGCTGTAATGATTTGTGCCCAGATTCAGGTTGGCAGAGGGAGAGTCACTTTCAACTTTCAACTCTCCCTCTATACTGCAGGTGGCTCATGTATCTTCTTTCTGGAGACTTGGATCTCCAGCGTGCTGGCTGGTGTGACAGGCACAGCCGGGGCACTGACAGCAGGTGAAGACCACATCTCCTCAAGTGCCAAAATCACTGCTGCAGTCCAGGCCCTGTCCATTCTCTCAGCATGACCTGACCTGGCAGATGCATCTTGCCAGCTGGCCATGGACCAGGTTAGCTGCAGCTGGCTTTAGTGCTGCACTGCACATTCCTCATCTGCAGGGTAGAGTGAGGCAGCAAAATACCTGGTAAGGCCCATGATCAACGGGTGAGATGAACCAGGTCTGACAGCGTGTGAGGAGGTATGTCCCTTGGGCACAAATAATATTTACAACATTTTGGAGATCCTTTTAGTCTAAACAAAGAGGTACTTTATATAGTTGATGCTGAACATCATTAATAATATTTAACCTGCCTGGCCAAAATAAAATAGGGTAGGCAAACCACAGGAAAACCTTACAATTCTATTTATATAGTTTCAAAAAATACATTAAGAAAACAGGATCCCCTCCTGTGAATCAATGAATCCAGTCCTCTTCTATCACAGGCGCATCATTCTTAACAAACCCTTTCACAAACCAGATACTCATCTGTTAGTTTTTTAGCTACCATGATACTTTATTTTTTTCTGGTTAAGTTCTCCAAGACAAAACCAAAGTAGTCATAAGGTAGAATAGCTCTGGGTGAATGTCTGAGAAAAACAAGACAGGAATTCAGAACCAAACACAAAGTCATTACTAAAACATATTGCTACGGCATGACATTGTTAGATTTTCAGCACCCAAAGTGTGAAAAACACATGAATAAGGATCATTCTAAGAATAAATTCTGGTATCCTTAATGTAGACAGAGAATATGTTCTCACATTCCACTGTTCAACTGATCTGTGATAGCTCCCTATTAATCTGTAAAACTCACAGATCTATATTAAAACACAGATAATATGTATGACTACTTTAATATTTCCCATCCAGTCCTTACTCAGGAATTCTAGATTTCTGTTCATGAAAACAATGGCTGAAGTACTGTTCTGTATAATTTGCTGACATCACAACTGGAAAAGATTTTAAAGCACTTATATCAATGAGAATAACCCTTTTTTAAAAGTTTTTGCAATTCTCACAATATTTCATGAGGCTTGTTTAACTGTGTAGGAGATGTCAAAACTGAAGAGAAATGTACTATTAGCTTTGCAAAATTTTGCCAATAATATATGCTGTAAGAATCTGAGAAAAGTGACACGATGTTGTAATTAACACTGCTCAAAGGTGTTTATTGGAATAAACAAAAATTATAATAATGGTTAAAATCAATGAATGCTGACTTATGGCACTGTGGGATGAGGGCAGGTAGCTTTCTATTCAGGACATTTTTACTTTGGTACTTTCTTCACAGATTAATTTGTTGATTTTGTATGCTTGATAGTGGGCTTTGTGGGTATCTATGAAGCCCCAAAGTCTGACACTAAGCATAACAAATCCTATTGCTCTTCAGTACTCAGTCCACAGCATTGTTTTCTATTAAAACTCTACCAAAACCTCTACCAAACCCTAACCTTTAACTCCTGGATGGAATAAACTCTACATTACTGTAAAAAGCTGATTCTGTTTTAATATGAAACATTAAAATTGTAAGTTTCTGAAAACCAGATTTCTAAGGCCTGAAAGGACCACAGATCATTTCGTAAATGTTTCCCTTACCATGAAAAATAGGCTAGCAGTTTCATTCAGTTTTCTGTGGGCCTTGTTGTAGACTGTGTGTTTTACTGAAGCAGGACAGAGAACCCCCTACATCTCCTGGAGTTTGCAGCAATGGGCATTCTGACTCCCTTGACAAAACATGCATCCCTTACTTCTATTGCAAGTTTGTCTGTCATCAATTCCAGTTACAGCTTCTCATACTTTCTTTTCATGGACTGAAGCTATCTCTGCTACTTTCAGATACTCTACTGAAGAATATCCTTGTATTTTAGGAGACAATTTTCATCCTATAAAGTCTCATTTCATCATAAAGTAGTTGAATTCTCTTAAGTGTCACAAGAGGTTGTCTCCAGTTCTCACGTACTTTGACGGATTCTCTTTTGCATTCTTCTTTTTTTTAAACATTCTTTAAAATAATGATGACACCAGAAGTCGTCAAAGTAATTCATTGTTAGTCTGAAGTCAAGATGGATTTTCTCTCCTATTTTCACACAGGAAAAAAACTCTATTTCTCCTTGTGGAACAGTATGAAGATAACTCATGTTGAGCTGCTTGTTCACATTAACACCTAAATCTTTCCCAGATTTCCTTGTGCTTGCAATGACACAAGTCCTCTTGTTCTGCTTCCTTAGCCTCCATATTGCTTCTTTCATTTTGTCTGTACTGAAACAAAAAAGTTCTGGTTGATCCAAATTTTCCATAGGATTTGGGCTGCATTGTTTGACTTCAATGAATGTTTTCTCCTCTAGTCTCTCTGTACCAAATAACCACATTATTAAAAATATGTGTGCCCTACTGCCAATAGGAACAAATATTTTTTCACCTCTCTGGAACTTGCCTCAGGTTCAGTTTTTCTCCAGTGAGACTGTTCCCAATCAGTAAAGCAGAGTGTAATAACGTGAAGATAGTTTAAACTAAAGAAAAATGAGCTCTTCCAAATGCTAGGACTGAGTGAAATCCCAGCCAAAGGATTCTTTAATGAGGTTTGATATTATTAAAAAAAAAAAAAAAAAAAAGGCTTATTGCAATTTTAAGAATTAAAGAAAAATATAGTTTACCTTTTTTTCACTGGGTCAAGTACCTGAAATATCTTATGTTGAGTTTCAATCCCCTGAGTCTGTGAAACAGAAAAGAATCATGAACAAATCATGAAATCAGAATCATGAACAAATATTAGTAAGTTCCAAAAGATACAATGACAAAAAGAAGGTATTAACATCTTTATGATAAGGCACTTCATGGCTTGTGCAAGGAGTGTACACCGGATTAGGACAGAGGAAGCTTGGTAAGTGTTCAGTAACTAGTGGCAAAACAGTTAACATATAAAGATTAGGCTTCTCCTTTTTCTGTCTTTTTTTTTTTTTTTTTTTTTTTTTTTTTTTTTAAAAAAAACTAGATGGAAAGGTAGACTTCTGGTATTTAGCCTGTTTTTCAAAAACTCAGAAAACTCATCAACTCGTGTTCACTTTGCAAGCTGTTGGGTGCTTAGCATTATAAAATATACTTCTTAAATTCCTTTTCATGGAAGTAGGAACATAACATTAGACTCCACCATTTTCATCTATGATTTTTAAGTGTTTGTCAACTACAGTAAGACTCGCATTTTCCAAATAGTTATGTAGGATGCCTAACAGCAATAATGGAGAAGTGATGTTTTTAAAAAAGATTAGATCTTATACCAACTATTCTGACAATGACGCTTTAGTAAACTTAATCTCATGGTAAGTGCTAGGCCAGCTAATGCTGAGTACCGAATCATACACTCTGAATGATAGGAAGGAGCATGATGCAGCTTTACAAATATTGCCAGCATGAGTATTTCAGAGCTGTGGCTTGGTAATGACCCCAAGTTAATAAAAAAAAATATTGCCTGTTTCCCTAGGACGTTCAGTGACCTTTCCCTTTCTCTCCACAGCACTCTACTGGACTGGAAAACTCAACAGAAAATGTTTTAATGGACCTGGTAAAAATCTTGTTCAATGAAACAAGGAAGTGAAACAGGTCCATCTGAGGGAGTGAGGTTAGTAGTTTTGGATACTGAAGAACAGCTGGTATAATCTCCAGCTCTGT